CAGTCAGTTCTTGCTTGCATGAGATACACTTGTACATCTGATTACTTGTTTTATTTGACTACTGTTTGCATGCTTTTTTATTTAGAACATTATATTCACTTGTGATGTTTGTTTCTAGTGAAATCTAATAATAAGTTCTGGTTATTTTCTTTCACTAATTCATATTTATTCTATTTGTGAAAAATAATCTATAATTTGTGCTACAATCTATAAAAAGTCTTATGTAAGAACATTAGATATAATTTCTATACTTCTCCAGAACTCAGTTATACTCTTTTACAATACAAAGAGGACATGTTTGGGACAGTGAGACCGAACAGGAAGGAAGTACAAAAAGAGCTGCAAGAGAAAAACCCAAAAAAGGGAGAAATGTTAGCTTCTCAGGCAGGAAAAGTCTGTTATGAAATGGAAAGACAAAAATTACTTCTCCTTATTGTCAACTCTTCATACTACATTAATGAGAGCACTTGAAAGAAGAAATGAAAGTAAAACAATTCCAGTAGTGATCAGTGATTAGAATAATTCTATGCGTGGTGCTCACAGAGTTAATCAACATCTAACGAGCTATCCTGTAATCGAAAGTGAGGAAAAAAATATTATTATAAAATAGTTATCCACTTTCTGCCAAACAATATGGAGCTCATTTATTATTTATTCAAAACAAAGAGGTTCAAAACTTCATTTACAATTTAAATTAGGTCTAATAGACCAAATAATTGAAAAATACGGGATAGCAAAATGCCAACCAGGATGTCCTTCATCGACATCCTCACCGGTCCGTTTAGTGCGTAGACGTTTTATTGAAATTATGCCCCCTACAGGAAAAGGGAGGGCCAACACGACAGTGCAAAGTGTGCTGCTCAGGGAAAGACAAAAATGCAAAAGAATTTGGATACTACTGTCCAGACTGTGACATTGCCCTGTGTATTGAATCTCTTAAAATGCACCATAAATTACTGATAAATGTGATAAAATTGTCAGTTTTTAAATTCTGTGTTATGTTATCTTATGAAAAGGAATGAAAACATATGCAATTTTTAGTCAGCCTGTATTTAAATAATTGGATTTAAGTACAGGTCAGTGATTACACTGGTTAGTGACTAAACCTCTGCTCCAAGTGGTGGGTGTCAGGTATCCTGTTCCAGTGACGGGACAGTGGCTGAGACACTGTTCCATAGATAGTTGTTCCTTCTGATCATCTAACATGCATCGAGCCCCAAAGCGGTCACAGCCCTCAATGAGTTTCCTGTGTGGGGTGACCCGGAACTGCTCACTGCTCCCCACCTAGAGCAGCACTCTGGCATTCTCACTTAGGGACACCTGTCATCACAGAACGCAAAAAAAAAAAAAAGTGCCGCTCAAATAGGTGGATTACGTGACCATCTGAACGCTGTCCTCCACGTAAGTCCACATCCCAGTTGCCAGAACCTGTGACTGTTACAGTGAACGTGACTTCCCAAATGTAATTTAGGCCTTGGGGTGAGGAAATTATTCTAGATTATCTGGGTGGACCCAGTATAACAACAAGGTCCTGCTAAAGGGAAGGAAGGAGGAACCGTGTCAGAGGAAGGGGTGTGCGATGACGGTGCAGACTGCAGTGCCCACTTTGCCTGCGGGCACAGGGTTCGGGTGGCAGCTGGAAGCCAGTAACAACAGAGATGTAGCTTCCCCCAGAGTCTCAGAAGGAGCCAGCCCTTCAGGGGCCCTGATTTTAGCTCCGTGAAAGTCATTTCAGACTCTCTCCCTCACAGCTATAAAGGGATAAATTTGAGTACTTGAAGCCACCAGTTTTGTAATAATTTGTTATGGAAGCAAGAGAAAATTAATAGAGGCTGTAAAAATATAATGCTCCCAAATTGCAAAGTCCCACACCTAGTCAATGGGGAAGCTAGGTTCTTTACCTACAGATAGATTGGATTCAAATTTCCATTCCACTGTCCACTAGCAACACAGTTTAATCTCTGTGTGTCTCCATTGCCTTAGCTGTAAAAGGGGATGAAAATAGTATTCATCATACTTTGTGAGTGAATTCATAGAAAGTGCTTCAGACAGTGGCTGGCGCATAGTAAGTCCCCAACAAATGTTAGGAAATTTTTATTACTATTGAAATTCAACTCTCTACTTGTGGGGAAAAAGAGAATTTATTCTCACCCATCAATGAGCAGGAAACCACCAAGACCCCATTTACCACTTTCTGGATTATATATGAACACACAACTGATGACAATGTGCAAAACCTTGAAAATACTGTCTTAAAATATATGTTCCTTTGCAACATTGCTATTAAAAAATAAGACCAATATAACAACCACTGTTAATTCCTATCATTTTGTGTTGAAACCCTGTATCATTTTTAATGTTCTTGATTTGCTTTGTTTATGTGTGTGATGCTGGTATTTTGCTATTGTTTTTTTTTGTTTTGTTTTGTTTTGTTTTGCTATTCTCTTTAAAAATAAAATAAAATAATAAAAAAAGAATTAGACCGGTTTTCTTCCTGGCTCCAATTGAGGTAAGAGATTTGAAAATAGTTGTTGCCACAGATGTGCCATTTCTGCTCAGGAAAAACCAGCAGGAGGACCCAAAGCATGTCCCCTCTGTGGCATCCTTGTGGCCCAATGGGAGAAGTCCTACTGGGAGATGCTGGTCCCTCTTGCCCGGCACAGAGCCCAAGAAAACTGGGCTTCTGGGCTACTCCTGCTGCATCAAGCAAGGACAAGACTAACTTGTGCACACAGGCGAGGGTGAGACTAACTTGTGGGTCTTGGGATATTGTTTGAGATGCACTGCTCAGATGGCAAAGGGCAATAAAACACTGCTGGCTGGTCTCTGCTCCTCTCACTGCGATGAAGATGAGTTAGTCAGGACAGCCTCTGGGCTTTGTTTCATAATCTACAGAGTCCAGACTCATTGCCTGAATTCTGTGTGCCTTATGAGGTGCCCCATGGATGCAATCATCAGCTGTTCCCACTGCAGACTCCAGCATTTCTTCTCAGAGACCCCATCCCCCTTCCCCTTCCTCCCCAGAACCGAGGCCCACTTTCCCCTCTCCAGGAGGCAGACTGGAATCCTTCTCTGCTGCATTTCCTTGTCCTTCTGCCTGTTGTATGCTAGTCTATGTTAGAACCTAAGCTCTAGGTCAGGCTACTTGTTTGAAATGGGAGTGAGTGGCTGAAGTAGAAGGCTTCCGAACTTCACTCCGCCCTCCCACCAAGCATTGGTGTGACCACACTCTAAAGGCACAGGAGGGCACGGTGGTGTGTGGTGGGCAGCAAAACCCCCGGGGAGCCAAGTGAGCTGAGTTTTGGGGAAGAAAGTGACAGGCCCAAAGGGAAAAGCAGCAGGTCAGGTGTGGAGGGATGGGCTGGGACAGGGACAGGTCCACGGCGGGTGTGGAGGTTGCAGGCTTGGCTGGAATGTCTACAAAGGCCTGGAGAGCTGGAGGGAAGGGTGAATGCCAGCCCTGTAGGTTCCTTTTGTTCTGACGAAGTGGGCAAGGAGCTTGAGAGGATACAGAACCTGAGCATGGAAGTCTCAGAGGACCTGCCAAGCCCTCAGAGGTGGTAAGCATGGAAGAGACCTACAGTGGAAGGTGGGCATCCAGTATCCTTTCCCAGAACAAATGATGACTGAACACCCTTCCCTACACCCTACAAAACACAGTGAGGATTTCCTACAAAATTTTGGATGCTCTTCCTAAAAATCTATCACCAATGCTTCCTTCAAGCAGACTGGCTTTTGCCAACCTGCACGGAAATCCTGGGCTCCCCGCCTTTGGGATTAATGAGCTCCCCCACCTCTCCCACCACATTCAGATTCAGCCTCTGGAAGTCTGAGTCATGGCTCAGTATCCATTTGTGGTTCTTTTATCTCCTAAGACAAAGCTTTCTCCCAGACAGCACCTGACTGCCTGGGGGACCAGATGAGATAAGATGGTGTCTGGCACAGAACGGGTGAGGTCCGGAGACCAGACTTACCACACAGCCTCAGCTAAGACCTTGGTTGGATCACTGACCTGCTGATGACCCCAGCCTGCAGCCCTCAGAGCAGAAACACAGTGAGAAACCATAAACTGTCAGGCCGAATCTGGTCTGTCCCAGCCAAAGGAGAGCTGTGGGCCCTCGCTCCTCTGTCATGGAGTAGAAGTTTGGTAACCAGCACTGCGCAACTCTGTGCCAACTTCCCACCTCCGGAGTGGTCCTCGGCACACCCTCAGGAAGTTGGCTGCGGGCTAACTCATGCTGCAATTATGTCAGGAAGCTGCCAAGGCCTCACCTCAGGAAGCCATGATAGGTGGGGAGCGAAGGATGAGAAGGGACACAACGCCGAGCGAAAGGTCAGGGAGCTTGTCTTTAATTGTGCCTCGCTGACACACGCTCTGCCTGCAGAGTGCTCCCAAAGGTTCCCAAAGGAAACAGCTTTTCTTGGGACCAGAAACAGCATTGTCCTCCACATCTCAGGAGAAAACGCTCCTGGGGGTGGGAGAAGGGCCATCTTCCGGTCAGCCTCAACCTGGATGCAGCTCTGAGAGACCCCCTTCCTTCCCTGCCACTGACAGAGATGCTCTCCTCCCCTGAGGTCTCCTGCGGTGCCTCTGGGTGCTCTTCTCAGGGGGACTTGACTCAGGCATTCGCATTCGTCTCCTCTCTCACCTGCTTCAGCAAGGGTCCTGCCAAGTCAGCTTACCCCAACTCCACGACACCTGGTGTCTACTTCAGCCCCCCACGGTCCTCTAGCCTCAGCTGGCATGGGAGCCCCTGCCGGTCTTCAGGGAGAAGCTTTTAGGTCACTTGGCCGGAACGCCTTCAGCCCTGAGTTTGCATTAGTACCTCACCACCACTGCCCCTGCCCTCTCATGGCTGTCAACCTCCAGCCGCCTGTGCAGGGTTTGGAGCGAGCCCACCTCCATCCTCCACTCCCAGACTTGTCCTCCAAGCCTCCCTCAAGTACAGTCTTCCTTTCCTCCTCAGTGATGCGGAATCATCTTGTTCTTCAACACTCACCCACGTCTCTGTCCCTCAGTTTCCCTCTATCGGGGGACCAGGAGCCAGCTTCACTTCGAGGCGTTTTGTGCCGATCTCATGAGCCTCGCTGTCCTCTGAGAAGAGCGGCTGCTTCCATACAAAGGTCTCTGTGCTCACTTCCTTCCCTTCACGGTCTTGCAGCAACTCACGCAGAGAGCTTACTTCCTGCTGAGCCCCTGGACTGTTGGCTCCTGTGGGTCCTATGCAGTTCCCTGCCAGACCAGCCGGTCACCAGGCCACAGGGCAGCCAGTGAGATCCAGCAGTCGGGAGAAGATGACGATCCTTGATTCCAGATATGCCGTGGTCTTGTCCTGTGTCTGCAGCCAGAGGGGGAGCTGGGGCCCAGTGGGACTCCCAAGCAGCCCCTTCCTGGAGGGGTCCTCTCCTCCTGAGGGAGTCTCCCTGATTAGAGGAGTCGATGCTTGAGCTACAAGTCTTCAGTGGCCTGGGCAGAAAGGGGGGCTGGATCCTGGGAGGCACCCAGCACACCAGGTGTCCAGGGCCATGGCTGCCAAGAGCCATATGTGAAGAGCTGGTACATGGGCTGAGTGTGTGGCTAGAGTCTGGCTCCCTTGCAAGGCTAAGCACCCAGGAAGAGGACCCGTTCTGGCATCCATGGCCTCTTCCCAATGGACGTCCAGTCCTGAGGAAAGTTGGAGGGAAGGCAGAGGGCAGGTGTGGGGCACAGTCCTGGCAGCGGAGCCATCGGTCTTCTTCATGCCCTGAGCCATCTTGGGTTCAGGGAAAACCAGACTCCAGCCCCACTGAAGGATTTGAGATTCAGAACAGGCATGGCCCGGGCAGGTACAGAGAGGTGGGGCTTCTGACCACAGAAGGTGCAGGTGGGTGAGTGTCTGGGAGGGTAAACAGGCCCTGAAAGCGGTAAACATTCTTCTCTGAGTTCTGGCTTCCATGGCCGTGCCACATGGGGAAGCTGGGTGTGACTCAGAAGCTGCAACTCCCTGAACCTCCTCGAATCTTTCTTTGCCAGGCGGGTTTTGGTATTTGCGCTCTGTGGGAAATTCTCCTCTTCCTGAGGACTGAGCCGATCACAGGTCTCACTGCTACTCACCAGCCCCTGAGTTCACAGTGTTGACAGCACTCAGAAAACACCCTGCTTCTGACCCCAGGGACCCTGGAGGCTGGCAGCCTGGGTCAGCATCATGGTTCTGCTGTGTGCAGAACCTGGGTTTTCTCAACATAAAATATGGATGATGATCGTGATCTCGCAGCTGGTTGGCAATTACTCGAGTGTTGTGATTCGGATATGGGATTCTCCCAAAAGGCAAGCACACAGGCCGGGTCAGCACCCTGCGGGCTGCTGGGAAGGGCCGCACCCTAGGGGAGGCACTGCAGGAAGTGGGCTTCCGTGCTCTTGAAGGGGACCCTGGGACTCCGCCCTCCTCTCGGTCTCTCTTCCCAGCACCAGCATGATCAGTGAGTGCGCACAAACTTGCAGAGAAATGCTTCCTGGTTCACAGAAGGTGGAAAAGGGTGCTGGCTGCTGCTGCTGTCACCCTCTGTGTCCTACACTGGGGCCTCGGGTCCAACTTCCCCTGTGGGAGGGGCAGGTGGGCGTCTCCAGGGTCCCTGAGACAGGATGAAGCCTCCTCAAAGAGAGAAGGAGGGAACAAGGGACAGTTACTGCCAGGAGCCTAGAGCTGTCTGGAGAGGAAGCTAAGCTGAGGGCTGTGCAGGGCTTGGGCCACCAAGAGCCCAGGGCTGCCTCGGAGCCCAGAGCAGCTCCTGTGCTCCAGGATGGGGTCCGAGGCTCCTCTGCCTGGGCAGTGAGGCTGGGCATGAACACCTGTGGGCCACCTTGGAGCTGGGGAGCAGGCACTGAGAGCCAGGCCGTGAGGTGTCCCTGGAAAGGGTCAGCTGAGAGACCCTTCCATCTTCCTGGCCTCTGTCATTGTTCCCTCTCTGCTTTTGTGACCAGGCACACAGCACACAACCAGCGGATTGCGAACTCTCCTCAGAAGCCGAAAGACGAGGATCGGAGGTCCAGGTGCAGGAAGCCGGGAGCACTTCCATTCTGAGAGATCTCATTTCTTTGTGACAACTGCAGGACCCTGGAAGAGCTTTTTGTTGAAACCCTTTGATCCTGCATATATTTACAGTTTAACAAACAATTAACAGCATATGATTGATTCCAATTACGCGTATCTCTAACCTGTATAAACTTATGCATATGTATAGCACGTGTGTAAACTTATATTTATTACCCTATGTGTCAACATATAGTTATTAGCTGGTTCAAGGCCAACTGTTTAACATTCAGTTTGGGAAGTTATTCTTCACACCCAGCTGTAGGAGACCAGTGGCTGACCTCCACTGTATATTAGTAGCCGTCTTAAGCATTAAGTTTCTGTTATCCTGCCTACTTCTCCAAAGAGAGGCACCTTTCCCTTTAAGTCAGGACTGCCCAACGTTGCCTAGCTACTCCCACCTCTAGAACTAGGACTGCCCACCGTTACCTAGTTACTCCCGCCCTTGTCGGGTTACTTGGTTACTCCCGCCTTAAGAACTTCCGCATTTCCCTGCACCCTATATATACGCAGTACATCCTGCCAATAAATGAGACTTGATCAGAGCAGTCTTGTCTCCATTCTTCATGTCTCTTGTCCGTTTATAATTCCCACTCCCCCTCTAGGGTTCACATTGACTGTACCCGCAGGCCGGGACACCCAGCTGTCTTTGTTCTCTGATTTTCCCATCCGGTGGAGTCCCCTTTCTGCCAGCCCCAGTCAGGCAGCACCCCTGATTTGCTTTCTTGCACCCTTGGTGCCTGCTAAGCCTATGCCCTTTAGCACTGGGAATACATGCCGGGGAGCCACTGTTGTGGATCTGAGAATGGCAATTTTCCACCACTTAAGGCTTTCCACTTAACTCTTAAGCCATACAGAAAATGGCATGGGGTATTACATTACATAGTCAACTTTGTAGTCTGCATTGCATCCTTTGAGCCTCTCCCACCTCTAGCATGCATGGATGTCTCTCTCTGAATGAAGTGTAAAACAGAGGAAGCAGCACAGGTCCTGAATGGAAGAGGTCAACACCATCTTTTTGACAAATGGTTTTCCATGGCGGCCTACGTGCACACCATGTTTCCTGTGTTTTTAGGATGGAATGAGTCAAATGGCCACTGAGGAGAACAAGCAGAGGCTCAGCCAAACAAATGTCCTGCTCAGGGGTTGAAACAGGACCACAGCACGCCACACAGAGCCACTTGGGACAGAGCACACAGGGAAGTGCAGACAGCTGAGGTCTAGCGGTCTGGATCATTTTGGTGGCCCCTCATGCCTAGTGTGTGGCTTAGGATGAGTAAAGCAGAGAAATATCACCCCTGAGTGTCTGGGCCAGAGAGTGGAGGTCTGGCTCTGGAATCTCAAGTCTGCATATTGAAGACATGGTCAAGGCCGACCCCTCCGGTGTCCTGAAGAATGGATTAGCCCTGAGAGGGGCACTGTCTCTGCAGGAGAAAAAGAAAACTATAGTTTATTTTGTCTCATTTCTCAGATGTCAAAGAATTTTAATATATAAAAAGTAGTAAGTATATAAGGTGTGAATGTTTATCCTTTTAAAACTTTTTAAAGTAAAAGGCACATTGGCATGAATCCCCCTCAAAACCCTCCCCCTCAATTCACATCACTGAGCCCATTATTCTGTTCACTTTCTGCAGCAGCTCTGGAGTCCTCTTTCCTGAGTGTCTCCAGCTGCACTGTCCTGGCTGCTTCTATGTCCAGAATTGATTCAAAATGTGTACCTGTCACGGTCATTTTGACGTAGAGGACAATCCACAAGAAACACAGTGCATGATGCAGTGACTAAGGAGGATTAGGACTCACCATGACCTTTTCATGAGCTGCCTTTCCATTGGGTGGGGCCTGGCAGCAGCGCTCACTGTAGTTTTGATCATACCTCGTAAAGACACTCAAGAAAGAAGACTCCAGAGCTGCTTTAGAAGGTGGCAAGGATGACGGGACAAGTGTGTTTGAAGTAAAGGGGAGATTCTGAAGGGGATTCATGGCAATGTGTCTTTTCCTATATTAATTTCTTTTAATTTAAGCATTCACCATATATGCTGACCACACAGTGTGTGTATGTGTGTGTGTGTGTGTGTGTGTGTTTATCCAGCATACACAGTGCTGTCACAACCATGATTAGGAAAGGAGTTGGTGCCTTTGCTAGTTTTTGGAAGTGGGGTGGCAACACTACTTGTGCATTGGGACTGGAGCAACCTGATGGAGCCCATGAGCTTCTTCTCACACAAAAATAAATAAATAACTGACCCATGCAGGACTACAATTTTATTTAAATATAGCCACACAAGTCTCCTAAGGTGTGGAACAACATGAGCCTACCCGTCACCAGAACCTATAAGCAGGACTGACAAGGACACGGTGAAGGTGGTTGATGAAAGCAAAGAACACACATATCTGCAGGTGCCACCAACAGGGCAGGGGCCATGCTGTACGTGTAGACTCCGCATGTCAGAGGGGAAAGGCTGTATTTCAGTCATGAGTTAGTGAAGGTGGAGACGTGCACGTCCCTCCTCTCTGGGGTAATGAGGACTCTGGGGGCTCTCCTGGGGTCCAGGCCTCTGGGGGCTTCTGTGAACCTGGTCCTCTCAGATGTACCTTTGGTTCTGACAGCAGCAGGAAAACAAGGTGTGAACTCATCTGCATCTCAGCTCCCAGATGTTCACATCCACAATGTTACTGTCATGCACACAGCCTCTCAACAGGTGCCAGGGCCTCCATGTCCATCAGCAGAGGAGTGGATACAGAAAATGATCTATTTACACACAGTGGAGCACTACTCTGCCATAAAGAAGGATAAACTCAAGTCATGTGTAGGAAATGGAGGCACCTTGGCCCACAGTGTTAGGTGAAATAAATCAGACACTGAAATATTGCGTGGTTTCTCTTACATGAGGAAAGCATAAATAAATTAAAGTGCAAAATAAAAGATAGATAATAGGAAAATGGGTACAGATATTTTGCAGACAGGAAGGGTACCAAGAGATGGGGGGAGAGGAAGAAAAGGGTATGAAAAAAAGAATGAAGATGTATTCTGTTCATGTACCAACTTCCCAGGGTGGATGCAAGCATTATGTACTATAAATGTGTACTAATAAAAATAAGAAATTTAAAGTAGAGGTGCATCCTTTATCTTTCTCCTTATTCATACTTTTGGTTTCTCATATAAGAGGAACAATGCGGCATTTAAACTTGTGTCTCTAATTTATTTCATTTAACATCACGATCTCAAGGTGTATCCATTTACCTAAAAATGCCTCAGATTTATCCTTCTTTAGGGGAAAGTAGTGCTCCTTGTGTATAAACACCACA